TGGCCGTTTGCCGGTTTTCCTACACAATTTGCGCTGTATCTAGTTCTTTTTTTTCTTTTATTGTGGTTTATTAATTTTTTGTATTATTTATGCCAGAGCGCCGCCATAATTCATTGAGTCCGAGCCGGGGCTGAGTTGGCGTTGAGTCGGTGTATCGTTAATTGTCCAAAATTATATTAAGAGAATGACGGACAGAAGCGCTCCCCGCCCCGGGGGGCGACCACGCCCCACAAGGCCGCCGCCGACTCATTGACATTTCTCGAGCGAGTGGCTGACTAAGCGCAAAACCCATAATGAAAAGCAACAAGAAAACACACGAGAGCACAAAAAGAGAAAATGTCGCAGTGCATTTTCTTGACCTAAGTCATTTCCGCACTGATATGAAAGCAGAGAGTGCAGCAGGAGAGAGCGAGGAAGGGGCTCCCACCAAAGATAATAGAAATAGAAGTAATAGAGTGACCAACGCCCAAAGCAAGTCCTGCGCTCCTAACAGATCATCCTCCTCCAATACGGGTAAAAAAAAGCACAAAAAACTTAATTAAAATTCCAAAAAGGTGGATTTGCTTCATGCCTCAGTGCAACTGCAGCGCAGTCGCAGCGGCAGTAACTTTGTGTGTAAGAATGATGAAAATACATATAACATTTTCCATTAATCACCATTGGGAGATTAATGATGTGCAGCAGCAGCAGCACATGAGCCGCGGCTGCATCTACCAAAAAAGAAGCAAAAAATAATAAGGTGGAAACAATAGAATATATGCTCATGCGCCCAGCGCTGGCTGCATGTTGCGTGTTCCTCTCCAGTTGCATGTTGCCTGGCTGCCTGCTTGCTGGCTTGCTGGCTTGCCACACGGTTTCAACATTTATTGCTCATCATAATTGCCGCGGCACAGTTAACCAAGCAGGATAGGCAGAGAAAACGAAAGAGAGAGAGGGATAGAGGTAGAGGAAGAGTGAGCCAAGCGCTGCAGCCTGCAGGGCATATTAGTGTCTCCCTCGCTCTTTCTCCCACTCGCTGGCAAACAAAAAAGAAATAGAGATGAGAGGATTTGGCAATTTCTGGATGAGTCACAGTTTACAGGGCATCGGTTGGGTCGCTGCTGCCCGCACTCTTGATGTTCGCCTTCTTTTCCTTTTGATTTGTCACTAATTTTTTTTCGCATATTTAAAAATAGAAATTACATAGCCGCACAGCCCCAATAGAAGCAAAAGCAAAAACAGCAGCAGCAGCAGCCACACTTCATTACGCACGCACACACACACACACACACACACTCGCATAAGGGAAGGAACACATGCAAAAGTCAAATAAAAATGCAAAGAGCAAACTTTTTCGCTTTATTTGGCATTGTATTTGGAGAGTTTGTGCCTCTCTCTCTCTCTCTCTGTTTCTCCTTTGATGAGAGTGCGTGTGCCCCCTCCCTCATGCCCCGATCAGATCATCAAGAGCGTCGCCATGGAACATCATGGATCATCAGACAGCCGGCGGCGAATGCGAATTGTGCGTATGAAAAGGGAACGGCCCAAGACAGTGGAACATTAAGCTGTTTTATTGTGGTTGATTATTATAATCATTTTGTGCATACATGTACACACTTTTATGGTTAGTGAATGAGTGTGTGTATGCGTGTGCATGGCCAAAAACGGTTGACAGTTCGGACCGATAGAGACCCTGCGCAGCGACTGTCAATTGCATTCCATTTTTGTACAAACCTAATGGCCACTGTGGTCGCCTCTCCTCCGTCCTCCGTCCTCCTTAGAGAGTGTGTCTCATTTCCCCCGTGTGCCTCGCGGTGCCCAGTTTTGGCTGTCTAACGAGCCATGTGTGGCAGCAAACGGCAACCGTTGGGTCGGTCGGACGTCGCGTACATCGAACGTCGAACATTGAATGTCGAATGTCGCATAGCAGCAGCAGTAGGGGAGAGCCGGAGGAAGGCCCGGCAAAGACATGGACGACTCAATACCAGTGATTTGTTGTATTTGCGCACAAATTTGCGACTCTATAAATTGTCTTGTACGCTTGTGTGCGGATCTCTGTATAAAATTATAGCCGGCCATTTGTTCATACTAAAACAACCGTACAGTCAGCTACGCTCCTGCTTATGCGATCATTCTCCTCCTCCTACTCCTCCTCCTGCTCATGCAAATCCACATACAACGCCATCTGTTGAACTTGATTTTTCTTTTGCTCTCTTTTACCTGCCCCCAGTCGCACTCTCTCTCTCTCGCTGTCTCTTTCTCTCTGAATCGCACAAGTTGACGTCAACTTTCGTGCAATTTCTTCATTTGCTGCGCACTTTTTTGCAATTATCCAAAGCCAAAAATTCACATGAGAGCCAGCCGAGCCGCAGCTAGAAATTGTTGATGTCATCGTTGCGTTCTTTGTTTGCCTTTTGGCAAGCGGCAAAAAGCACGGACAAACACCAACAAAACCACCCACCAACAGCGGCAGAGCCGGTGACGGCGACCGTTGACGCCTCGTTGAGCAAATCAATGAGTGTGTGAGAGAGTGAGACCCATTGTTGTACTCTTTGAGGGAGAGAGTATTATGATTTTGCTCAAGTATTTACTACGTGCAAAGAAGCTTATACATATATTTATTTATGTATTTCTGATAAGCATCAGCCGTAAGGCTTAACCAAATTGGGTTTAAATCAGATATGAAATATCATACGATTATATGGACATGGCAGCCAGGGTATCAAAAGCTTCGCTCCCATTTCTTTTTCTGTGCATGTATTTTTGCTGCCGGCTTCTTCGAGTGCCAAAATGATTTGTAAATAGACAGAGAGAGAGAGAGAGGGAGAGGGTTTGCGGTACTCTAGCACACAGTGAAATCTCTTTCATTGAGTGGACCACAAATTGAATGTGCAAATCGTTAGACATTGTGTGTGCCCACTGTACACATTTGTGTGTGCAAAAGTACGAGTATTGGTTGGCCAAATAGATTATTTGTGCAAAAATAAAAAGCAAAACACTCAATTAACACACCGGGCAGGCCGGCCGGCCGGCAATCGCCGCTACAGAGAGCGCTGCCAACTTGTGCGGCTATCAGCTTCCACACTGATAAAATACCGAGCAATTATCGCGGCGATTAAAATGCACACAGGGAGTGGGGCAGTGGAGTGGAATGGGCTTGCAGAGTTATTTGAAAACGCGTATTACATCATTTCTAGTCATGATTGATTAGCAAATAGCAGCGACGATGAGTCATGGGGCAAGGAACTAAGTCTCGAGAGAGCTCCGACTAAGCTGGGGTTTGTCTTTCATGCTTCTTTCTTTCTTTTTGTTGTTGTTTTTTTTTTTTTTTTGGACTTATTCGCTTCAGCTCACTTTTAACCCCATTACGCTTGAGCAACAGTCCAAGCAGTGCAAAGCAGTGGAGAGAGAGGAGAGCAAGGCAAAAGAAAGTCCGACCAGCCCGACCAGCCGGCAATTGCGCGAGGCGAGTGGGCTAAAAGTGGGCAACCGAACTGGGAAACCTGGCAACCCGGGGACCTGGCAACGAACGGGGCCCCGGCTGGTGGCATTTACTGGTCAATGACATTTTCGAGTTTCAGATCGCTCTCTGTGGTGTGATGTGCTCCGATGTGCTGCGGTGTGGGTCGACGATGCGGTGGTGCGGTGTGGCCTGGCCTGGTCTGGTCTGGTCTTTGCGTGCCACAGAAGAAAAGTGCCGGAAAAAATGTTAACGCTACATTTTCCCCTGCGCCAAAACTAACGCCGAGTCACACTACTAAGTCACTGACACGTTTCCTGTCATCTGACTGTTGTTTTTTTTCCCTTCTTTCTTTCTCTATCTTTGGTTTTTGTTGTTGCTGTGTATGTATGCCCTGGCCATGTCATCGCTGGTTTGGCTCTGTGCCTGCGGTCTGGTTGTTGGTAATACAGTGCGACATGGGGCTGGAATACTGTCCAGCAATTGCCATGACATTGTCGGGGGGCTGTTCCTGTTCCTCCTTAGTTGCTCCCGCTGCCGCTGCTTTCTCACTTTCACAAGTTCTCTGGGCTCTTCTCCGGGCTGATGTCATCATTATCATAATTTGTATGCATTAGTAATGTGTCTGCGTGTCAACCCTGGACCCTCCCTGGCAAATGCGCAGACAACACTCCCCTTAGTTTACTCCGAAATCTACAGTTACCCTGGGGGTGAGTGCAACGTCCTGAAAGGGCTGCCACTTTGTACCACATTTTGGGATTACTTTTACAGTGTTACCTACGGATGTGGGATGTGGGTTGTGGGTGGCAAGATTGTCCCATAAAACATGCACCATTTAAAAGCACTTTAGTTGATTTCTTTTCGTCAAAAATCCTTCCTGGAAAATGTATATTTGAATATTGCCTGCTTTGGGGCGCGGTCGCTGTACCGATATAAAAAATATTCCATCCACTTGCTTTTATATACGCGTATGTGGGGCATGTGGGGCCCACAGTCCAGGCCAGCCCAGATGATATTCATTCCTGTTTTCCCTCCGTATTTATTTAGCTGGAAATTTGTCTGTCTGTCTTCGTGGTGTGATTTATTTTCGTTGGAGCACAAAATACTTTGGTTGCTGCATCTGTCAGATATTTTTACGAGCCACGAGCAATAATGCCATAAGTAGCGCGCAGAGGGAAAACTGTTGTGCCACCATTTTGCTGTGTGCGTTGTGCCCCCAGACAAACGGAGATGTCTTTCAATGGACGGGGGCTTATTGCATTTATCGATTTAACAGCACTGAAAACTTCGAGAGGGGGGATTCCAGACAAACGGGAGACTGGAAGACAGCGACAATGGAGAGCCAGACACTTACCAAATGCTTCTTTTTGTTGTCTTTCGGCGATGGCGATGGCGATGGCGATGATGTTGTTGATAATTGTATTTTGGTTTAGTCATCTTCGGGGTGTGGTGCCTAGCATTTCCAATTCCCCCAATTCCCCCGAATCCCCCGAATCTTTTCCACGTCACTTAATAATCTTTTCTACCCACTTGTTTTTCCGTTTCCTTTCGTTTTCCGCAGGTGGAGGAGTACGCTGCCTTCAATGCAGCTTCCGGCTATGAGGCTCAACGCTCCGTCGAGGCAGAGGCGGAGGTGGAGGTGGAGCTGCAGGAGGAGGAGCAGCTCGCCCCGTCACCGGGAATCAATCCATTTGCTGCGCCATTCACGCCCGCACACTTGGCCGAGGAAGTCATCGTGGCCCAAGAGCTGCAACCGGAAATACAGGAAAACTTCAACCAGCTGCAATTGCAGGAGGAACTCATCGATGAGGAGTACCAGATTAGCCCTGAGCCTGAAGCCGCCGCCCCCGCCCCCGTCAACGTGTTCCCCGACTTTGCTGCTGCCGCGGCTCCAGCTCCAGCTCCAGCTGAGGCTGCTGCACCCTTTTTCAATGGCTTCGAGAGCAATGCCACCCCAGAGCCGGTGCTCCAGCAGGAGGAGATTAGGGAGCCATCGGTGCTGCTCTACTCTGAGCCAGCTGTGGAGGCACCAGCTCCGGCTCTTCAAGAGCCCGAGCTGCCTGTGAGCTCTGAAGCAACTTCCGAAGCAGTTAAACCCGTTTCTAATGCATTTGACCTGGACGACACTCCGGTGGCTGAAGCAGAGCCCATCCCTGTGCCCGCCAGCGAACCCGTTGCCGAGGAGCCCCCCGTGGTCGCCGCTGCTGCTGTGGTGGCTGCAGCTGCAGCCGCTGTCGCCGGCACTGCCGTGGCCGCAGCCGCAGCCAAGGCCAAGGGAAAACCAACTCACACTGATGCCAAGAAGCCGGCTGCCAAGCCTGCAACCACTACGGCTGCTGCCAAGCCCAAGCCAGCAGCTCCTTCTGCGGCAAAGAAGCCCGCAACAGGCCCCACAACAACAGCAGCACGCCCTCGGACGGCACCAGTGGCTCCCAGGACCACGACTGCATCGTCGTCGACAGCTGGCAAGCCGGCCACCACTGCCCGCAAGCCGCTGACCAGCTCGGTGGGAACTGCCGCTGCCAAGACGGCACCCAGGATCACCACCACAGCCAGTGCACGACCAGCGACAGCTCCGGCCGGCCGTACGGCTCCCGCCAGCAAGCCGTTGGCCAGCAAGCCCCTGGGCAGCACTTTGACCAAGACGACGACCAGCACAACGACAGCCGCTCGCAGCGCTGCCTCTGCCAGCCTGGCGGCACGCAAGCCTCTCCCTTCGGCCTCGGCCAATGCAGCTGGTGCCAGCAGCGCCAGCAGCCTGGCCAAGCCACGTTCGGCGACCACCACCAGCACTGGCGCACCCAAGCCGAAGGTGCCGTCGCCTCGCAGCGCCGCCCCTACTGGCGCCAGCACAGCCCGCAAGGCGGCGACTGCTGCTTCCACAACGATTGCATCCTCGCAGGGCGCTCGTAGCCCCACAAAGCCAACGACCAATGGACTGGGCAAGAGCACCGCAGGCAGCAGCACTACTACCACCACCACTACTCGCGTCAAGTCGGCCACAACGGCCAATGGCACAGGCACTGGCACTACTACCACATCGACAACAAAGACTTTCACAGCCCGCCCGGCACCCAAGTTCACGCACTCGATGGCCAGCGGAACCACCGGCAGCAGCAGCACCACCACCACCACGCGACGCTCCCTGCTGGCCACGAGCTCGACCACGACTGCGGCCCAGCGCAAGTCCTCGCCCCTGAAGCCCAGCAACAACACGCTCAGGGCGTCGCCTCTGAAGTCAGCCGGAAGCGCCTCCACCACGCCGCTGAAACCGAAAGCCAAAGAAACCGCAGCCGCTTCCAAAGCCTCGCCGGCCACTCTAAAGGCGCCCAAGGTGCCCACCCCGATGAAGGGTGCAGCCCCTGGGGCCCCCATTAGGAAACCAGTGCCGGCTGAGCCGGCTCCTCCGGCCACCAATGGCGAGGAGGAGCAGCAGCCACCCATTACCCAGAACGGCAACGGATCACACGAGGCAGAGGTCGTCGCAGAGGAGTTCCCAGTGTCCCAGGATCAGGAACAGGCACCGGCTGTAGCTCCAGCTGCAGCTCCACCCGCAGAGGTGTCCCTGCTGGATTTCTAAGGAAAAAAACACGATAATTACTTTACTAATATTATAAACATATTAAGCTAAAGTACTTTGTGCGCGCGCGGACATCAAGAGAGGAAAATAAGATGGGGAAAACTGAAGAAACGGAAAACTTTAAGACAGAAAATCGAACCCGAATTGTGAATTGTGGGCCCCGATACCGATGCTCCAATGCAATCGAACCGAACCGATCTATTAATACATCGACTACGATTTCGATTTCTTTATAGATATTTATATATATATTAAATGTATGTTATTAAAACGAAGCCCCAGAGCGAAAGCAACGTTTTGTGCTATTTTGTGAAGGTTTTTTGTACCGCTGTGGCAAATGATTATACTATATGGTGTGCTCTGTTTTTTCTCGCTCATTTATTTAAGTTTTTTAGTAATTGTTCCTCACACGCTCTGTTATTTCTTTCGCCCATGTGCTAAGCGAAATTTTTGTATTGCTCCGAACGGCACGACGGCACCCAAGCGCATCGCGAAAAACCACACAAAATAATTGTCATTTTTGCAACATTTTTAAAGGCAAAGAAAACCCAATTGCGAAAGAAAAAAGCCCAAAAAAAAAACATTGTCAAAAAGGGAAAACGCAAAAAAAAAAACAACAAAAATCAAATAAAACTATGAAAAAATATCGTGTAGGAAGAACAAGAAAAAGTATAACTGTAGCTATTAGTCGGCGTTCTAACAAGTTAATGGGAAGAAGAAGAAAAACCATAAAAAAAATCAAAACTAATCGAACAAGAAGGAAAAGCAAACAAAATTTGCGCAGCTGAAATGTTAGACTGCTAACCATTAAAAAACGAAAACAAAAAGAAAAGAAAAATAACTTATAATATTACTAAAGGATTCAAGCAAGAATCGATGTGTTTTAACTGTCCTCCAAGCACACACGCATATATTTTATTGATTTAAAAATGTTTTGTATACGTTCCTCCAAGTCTACTTAAAAGAAAAGAGTTACAAAAATTGAATTTGCTTGAAACCCCGAAGAGCAATCAAAATCTTAACCCAGTGTATCATTTTAACTTCAGCAAAAAAAAAATCTTGAAAAGTTTTCTGTTTTAACACATTTGAAAAGCAGTTTTTAATGCCACCAGGAAACTGGTTTCATTGTATTATTATTTTTTAATTCGTTAAAGACAAACATCAGCAAACAATCGGCAGAACGAACATTTAATGTAACTCTACAGCACCATCCCCGAATCACACACACTCTCTATACATATACTCTATGTTTAAAACGATATTACCAATTAAAAATTAAACAAAAACGAACAAAAAAATACTTAAAAAGGAAACATTACAACTTTTGATTTGTTTTATTTTATTTGTATTTCATTTTTTAATTTATTCCTTCGGTTTTAGTATATACAGATCCCGTTTCAATATTTATGTATATGGAATGAGAGATACCAAAGCGTCAACGACTCGAATTTATTGTATTGAGAAAACCAATTTTGCCTGCTTTTGTGAAAGTAAACACCTCCCCTGTCCCCAGTCCCCTGCCCTGTCGGGGGGGGGGAGGGAAATGTGGATCAGTTTTTAGATATTAAGTTGCTAGAGTTGAAAGTTTTGCCTCTATTTACACACATAAATCAAATATACAATGCATGCAGTAATACAATACACAAGTATGTATTACCTAGATAAGCCTATGCGATCGATCGGTAGATCCTATCCATGTTTTTAGAGAGTTGGTTGGTTGGTTGGTTGATTTGCGTTATTCGGTTTGCCCAGCCCAGCCCCGCCCCGCCCCCAGTGCCCTTCACTTTCATTTGCCTTATTACTAGTAATTTGCTAACTAAAGCATAAGCTAAATTATGATAATTATTATATTACATCTATTGAAAGAGTTTAAGAGTCGAAAGCACGAGACTCGGGCCCCTTCCAACCCTGATATCCAGCCCAGTCAAAGACCTTCACGGCTCCAATTAGTTGTGCTTGAATTAGCCAGACGGACCCGGGCCCGGCCCCGGCCCCCGCCCCAGCCCACCTTCAACCCCTCAACCCAACAGCCCATTATCGTCTAGTTCGAAGAGAGACTGATTAAGTGATTCATAACCAATACTGCCCGTGGGGCTCGGAACGGTACGGATTCAGCAGGGGCCTGCTGTTGCTGGATGGCTGGAAATTTATTCTCCGTTGCATTTAGGCCTTGGCTCTCGGACCAGGGAATATTTCCTTTTTTATACACATATACATATATTACACATGCATGCATGGAAGAACCCTAAGCAAGTACTTAAACAACAAAATATATTTAAAGAAAAAGGCAGAAGATACTAAAACTAAACAAAAACTAACTAATACCTACACATAATTTATCAAATATACATACATATGCAACAAATGGAAAATATACAAGACATACTATCTATCTAAACCATATACATGCATACATACATACATACATACATACATACGAGTATACATATATATCAGTCAACAAGAACAAACATATTTGTGTAGTGACAAAACTGAAATTAACAAATATTACACAAAAATACAGAAAATTTATTACTAATAAATGTTAAATATACAAAAAAGAAAACACCACCACCGCTGAGCAATTACTTACGTTACCAACTGTTGCTGATGGGCGATGCCGTCAAGGAGCTCCCCAATCAGTCAGAGTCCTCCAAGGGGGCGTCGTGAATCGGGCTCATTATGGCCAGTGACCTAGCCAAGCCCCCACTTCCACTTAATGCAACTGACCTGGGCCTGGGTCTGGGCCCCCCGCCTGCCGGCCGCCTCTGCTCATTTGCATTGTGGCCAAGAAGACATGAACAAAGACGAGACTTACGAGTGGTCTGCCGGCCAATGGGAGCGCCACCGCAGAGCAGGGCCATCAAAAAGTTTGCGTGTGGAGTGCAGGCTGGCTGGCTTGCATGAATCACTCGACCGGCGACATCGTGTGCAAAGTGTAATGAATCATTTGTCTCGGGGGCAGAGAGGGTACACCCATACGCGGAGTGTGTGTGTACGTGCTGGTAATTTGCAATTTTGTTCTCGCACCAACTTTTACCAGTTTTTTTGTATGAAATTGGCCCACAGCCTTTGAAGGCAGACAAGACGACAAAAGACGTTTTGCGTTTGTTTGCATTTACTCGACTCTTTTTATTCAGCTTTCGGCTCGGTGGTGTGAATGGCAGCAGAGCAGCCCTTACATCGGGTAATATACAAATCTTTTATGGAGTGGGGGAGGAGGAAAAGCGACCACGCCGACACCGATGACGCCGCCAGACTTAATGACTAAATTCAACGCACTATTTCGCATTGGGTTGCAGGGAGGGGCGTTTTGCGTTTATGGATTACAGATTAACTTAAGACTAAGCCAGTCTAAAATCTGTTTAGACCTCCTGCTTGACCTTCTTCCAAGCAGGCTTTGCACCGTTGTCCTGGGCTGGCCGTTTGTTGAAGGGCTTCTTGCCGAATTTGTTGAACTTTGGTGGGCCGGCGGCACCTGGGGCTGGCTTGCGGTTGCCGCCGCCGTTGCGGTGCAAGGTCGACTTCTTTTTGAGCAGCTTGTGCTTCAGCATCGAGTTGGGCTCTAGGAATACGGGCTGGTTCTTCACGACGCGCTCATTGCACAGGAAGGACTTGCAGAAGCCGTCGTTGGTGGCGAACTTGACCAGGGCCTTGTGGGTCAGCAGTGTGACGGAATCGATCTTACCGCTCTCACCAAGCAATTCCTGTAGGTCGCTCTCAGTCACATCTACAAATAGTAAAAGAACAAAAATATTAGTATGGAAAAGGTGCTGGGAATGGGGAGGGGGAAAAACCCACCTGCGGCAAGATTTGTCACCAGAACGGTTCGTGGCGATGTGTTGAAGGTGTATTGCTCCAACTTGAGCTCCAAGTCGCTGACAGTCTTGCCATTGAGCTGCAGCAGCGCCTTGGCGGCCTGCTCTGGCTCCTTGAATGTGACAAAGGCTAGGACATAGTTGGTGCACACAACATCAATGTCCACAATGTCGCCGAACTTCTTGAAGATCTTCTCAATAACGTCGGACTTGAAGGACTCGTGCTTGGCACCATTCTGGACGATCAGCGTACGCTCGGGCGACTTCTTCGAGTTGAGCTTGTACGAGGGCTCGCGAACGGTAATGAAGCGAGAGTTCAACTCGGTGCCGTGCAGCTTGAGAGCCTTGGGCATGGAATCGACAGACTTGAAGCGCACGAAAGCCGTAGGGTTGCTGCGGTTGTTGGACAGGTTGACCGCCTCCACTTCACCGACCTTCGAGAAGAATGTCGACAACTGCTCTTTGGTGGTATCGCGGCCAACTAGTCCCACGGCAACAGTGCGATTATTCAGATCATCCTTGTTGAATGGCCGACCCACGACCAAAACATTGCCGTAGAAGGTCAAGGCCTTCTCCTTGGCTTCCAGAGCGGCCTCGGCCGCTGCAGATGTCTCGAAGGCAATGAAGACAGTGTTGCCGTCATTCTTTCCCTTAATACGATTCACTGCAATGAGGGGCCCGAATTTGCTGAACTGAGCAACCAAATCGAGATGTTTGTACTCTGGAAAAAACGTTTAAGGCAAATCCAAATGTGAGCTCAAATGCACAACGACCACCAGAAATCATTTAACTTTAAAGAAGAAGGCGTTAAATAACTTACCATTTGGTATGTTGGAGACGTGAATAACCTGATCCTTGGGAACATCCGCTGGAATCTTGCCAACAGTGATTTTTGGAATGCCGCCCTTTTTGGGTGACGACGCAGGTACTGCTGCTGCTGCTGCTGGGGCAGCTACCTTGCTTTTCTTGGCTATGGGAGCCTCAACAGGTTCATCGTCTTCGGAATCGCTCAGTTGTTTTCCTGCATTTGAAATCTGGCCAGGTTCATCGTCTTCGGAATCGCTCAGTTGTTTTCCTGCATTTGAAATCTGGCCAGGTTCATCCTCTTCGGAATCGCTCACTTGTTTTCCTGAATTTGAAATCTGGCCAGGTTCGATGCTAGAATCGTCATCGTCATCATCTTCATCATCATCATCATCCTCCTCATCGCCATCGTCTTCAACAGCTTCATCGTCAATTAAATCTGAAACTTTTTGTTCTTCCTACAAATACAAAAAACACAAAACACGCGGTTTTTCCTACGGCTTTTCCTGAAGCGTGCTGTCTCTGAAACTTACCTCGGACTCGCTGCCTTCCTCAGATTTGACGGCAGTCTGCTCCTCCTCGGAATCGGACTCATCCTCGCTTTGCTGCACTTGTTGCTCTAGCTTTCTTTTGGACTGCCTTGTCTGCGTTTGGGTAGCCACAACCTCCTCGTCGATCTGTGCCGCCTTTGGCTTTGGCCCGCGCTTGTTGCCGACTGGCTTCTTAACACCATTCTCGGACTTCTTTGCAGGGGCTACAGCGCGTTTCCTTTGTGCCATTTTGCTAGTTAAAATGTTTTCAGTCAGTCAGGCTAATTAAAATAGGTTACTTTCAGGCAAATTTGTCGCCGAAATGTGAACAACGCGTGGTTTAAGCGGAGTAAAACGCACGTGGTAATAGGGATGGGAAACAGATTTATCGGGGAAATATACCGTCCGACTCTCAGAAATATACCGCCTCATTTTAAAAATATACCGCAAATATACTGACGAATTCAAGTTCTATTTAACATATTCCTCGTTTTTGATATTCCGTCGAATATTACAAACAAAAAATATATATATATTGAAATTTAAACAAATGAAACAGCCCAACATGATATGGCAACGTCGTGAAATTAGTTGCAGCACTTACAGCACTACCATAGATGGCGCCATATCGATATTCATCTGCCATTCTATGAGCGATAAGCTTGAAGGACGAGGGTCATAACCTCCAGCTATTATTTATTAGTTCGAAAGGTCGTTGAAACATAAAAACTGGCGGCGAGCGCTTATCACCGTAGGACTACCTATTGCGAATGGTTGTTTCTGAGAGTAGTCGTGACCAGCAACAGACACGGATGTATCGCTCATCCCTAGAAATTTCGTACAATGCTTATCGATAAGCGATAAAGTATACACATAAAAAATTAAATTGCAGCACCAGCACCAACGCACATATTTATTGTTCGAAGTGCGAGGAGTGCCAAAAACAAAGAGCGAAGCGACGAGCGTGTGTGCGACTAAACACTTTGGAGCAGATACAGACAGACCGGAACCAGAGCCAGCCACGGGCCGTATCAATAAGGGAGTCGCAGCAGCAGCAGCACAGGGCAAGGAACTGAGCAGCAGCAGCAGCTAGAACAACGTCGACGACTACACAATGAACACACTGACCCCCAGCACAAACGGAGCAGCCAGCGGTGGCTCCACAACGGCCATATCCACGACAGGCAACGGCAACGGCAATGGCAGCGGCTCCAGCACAAATGTCACAGCGGCCGGCACTGCCGTCGATGGCGGCGGGGGCGGTGGCCTCGACGAGGCTGGCGGCGATGCCAGCTCACGGCGGCAGGCGACTCGTGTTTTCAAGAAGAGTTCGTCCAATGGCAAAATCACCGTGTATCTTGGCAAACGGGACTTTGTCGACCATGTGACGCACGTAGATCCCATAGATGGGGTGGTCTTCATCGATCCCGAGTATGTCAAGGATCGCAAGGTGTTTGGCCAGGTGCTGGCCGCCTTTCGCTATGGTCGCGAGGACCTGGACGTACTGGGTCTGACATTCCGCAAGGACCTGTATTTAGCGCATGAGCAAATCTTCCCACCCATGCAACTGGAACGCCCGATGACCCGTCTTCAGGAGCGGCTGATTAAAAAGCTGGGCCCCAATGCACATCCGTTCTACTTTGAAGTGCCACCCTACTGCCCCGCCTCGGTGTCCTTGCAGCCGGCCCCCGGAGATGTGGGCAAGTCTTGCGGTGTGGATTACGAGCTGAAAGCATTTGTGGGTGAGTCTTTGGCATATGGCTGGCAGGCAGGCAGGCAGTCAGCCGAGGGCTTGCCTGCCTCGTTGTCCATTATTAATGTATGTGTCGACATCTGTGCGTGTGTGCGTGCGTGTGTATGAGAGTTCTGCTCCGGTCAGGCAAAGTCAAAATCATTGATGAGCAGCGACTGCAACAGTGGCGGCAGCATTCAGGCATTGTCAATACATGCATAAATATGTACATTTCCACATTCCACATTCCGCAGTACGTACCCATGTACATACATACAATATGTGGAGTGGAGTATAGATGTGTATAATGTGGCGCATGTGTCACGCGGACACGCGGGGTTAATTAATCCAGCTACGTCTACATGGAGCGACAGCGGGGACTGCGCAAAAATGTCATTGGAGGTTTGATGACGCAGCGTCCCACCTAATTGGAATTCGACGCTTCTAATTGGAATCCGACGCTGCTCTCGACGGTGGTTGTATCACAGTCGAGATATGTATTGTTGTTGGCTTTAATTAGGCGCCGCTGCCACTGTCGCTGCCGCTCCCGTTGACTTTGCTGACGTTTTCCACACTGCTCCTCCCAAAAAACACTCAATTGATTCTCGGAAGAGTGGTGGGGGGGGGGCAGGGGTTTTGTTTTCTGCTTACAAAAGCTTAAAGCGCAGAGCGGTTCTCCTCTTTCCTTATTTGTAATAATAATAGGTTAACAACAATATACGATCGCCGCTTGTTCAGCGAAAAAATTAGCTGCGATTTATGGAAGTTACGCGCGCATATTTGCGTTTCGCACGCGCACTGGCAGTCGCACATCTTCTACGCTCCTCGCTCCCAAGCCCCATCCTGGAACGGGATGGGACAGTGCCGCAGGCCATCTCGCTTGCACTTGGCACACATTGCTATCTGTTTTGTGTGCGGCGCGCTCTTGCCTTTTGTCCGCTTCTGGCGCTCATTCTTATCTGGTTGCGGAGGCTCTGCCAATTTGTGTGCGGCCATAAAGAGATTAATGAAAGAGCGGGGCGGCGGCAGCGGCAGCGGCAACGGCACCCCAATTGGCATTTGGGTGGGCCTTGCCATATGTACATATAGATAGACAGCCTACTGTTGCACTGCACTAGATGATACCTAAATAAAATGTGAGATTTTCAAAATAATTATTCACAGAAGCGTTCCACAGCACGTCACACCCACTCTGGATCTCTGGCAGCTTCCTATACCCGAGCAGAGGGTGTTATGACTATCAATGATGACCGAGTATTTCGTACTCTCACATTGCTGATCGGCATTAAAGCTGGTCTCCAAGCTGAAGCTTTGTACATACCCTTCTATTTGCTGCCTGCAGCATGAACACCTTGTTCCCAAAACCACTCTTAGAAAAATCACTTTCATCTGATTATTTCATCTAATTTAGACCACAAAAGATCGCTTTGGAGTCCCATCTATCTGCTAGAGTATTAAACACTTCGGGGTCTGAACGATAGACTCTCTTTCTTGTTATTTACTTGGCGTATGTTGATTTGTTTATTTAATGTGCTTTGCCTCCATGTTTTTGGCATAAACAATTAACTCAGCCCCTCTTGACGCGGCACGATTTACGATCTTCAATTTGGAAAGCATTTCGTTCAATTGGGGCAACACAGAAAACCAACCAAGAAAATCTTGGCATTGAGCTGTCTGTATCTGGCTCTAAACCATCTCTTGTCACTATGCCCTTGTATGTGGATTCCCGGAATTTGGTGGGGATCTACATACAATGGTTGGGAAGGGGATAACTGATTCATCTGGTTACAATGCCGGTGCCGATGCCGATGCCCGACGCCTACCATCTATGACGCACATAAACAAGCGTTCTTTCATCTATTCACACACTGAGAAGCACACACGCATTAGGGATAGATATGACACACCTCTAAGCCAAATATGCAAACGTCACATGATATTATTCCAGTCAAGTGGATAGCCAGGCCCTTACTAATTATGTGTATCCTACATTAGGTGAGCACGTCGAGGACAAGCCACACAAACGGAACTCGGTGCGGCTAACCATACGGAAGGTCATGTATGCCCCGTCCAAGGCCGGGGAGCAGCCATCGATTGAGGTGAGCAAGGAGTTCATGATGAAGCCGAATAAGATCCATCTGGAGGCCAGCCTGGACAAGGAGCTGTACCATCATGGCGAGAAGATATCGATCAATGTGCATGTGGCCAACAACTCCAATCGAACGGTCAAGAAGATCAAGGTCTGTGTGCGGCAATTCGCGGACATTTGCCTCTTCTCGACGGCCCAGTACAAGTCCGTTGTGGCCGAGATCGAGTCGGAGGATGGTTGCCAGGTGGCCCCGGGCTTCACCCTGTCCAAGGTCTTTGAGCTGTGCCCTATGCTGGCCAACAACAAGGACAAATGGGGACTGGCCCTGGACGGACAGCTGAAGCACGAGGACACAAATTTGGCGTCCAGCACGCTGATCACCAATCCCGCCCAGCGCGAGAGTCTCGGCATAATGGTGCACTACAAGGTCAAGGTTAAGCTGCTAATCAGCTCGCCGCTGCTGAACGGCGACTTGGTTGCCGAGCTGCCGTTCACGCTAATGCACCCCAAGCCCGAGGAGGAGGAGCCCCCGCTGCTGGGCGAGAGATCGCCGCGGGCCAGCCTGGCGGCGCCGCTGCTCACCTTGGGCGACGCGAATGAGGACGGGGCATCGGGGTCAGGTGGCGACCAGGGACAACAGGATGTGCCCACCACCACCAATCTGATCCAGCTGGACGATGAAGAGGCGCAGGACGATGACATCATCTTCGAGGACTTTGCCCGCCTGCGTCTGAAGGGCGCCGAAACGGAGGCCTAAGTCGCTGATGGCTGGTCTCCCGTCCCCCTAGATTTTCGGTCGCATTGTTGTCGAGCCCAGAGCTCTTGCAGTTCTTGATCGGTCTCGATCGGTCTTGATCGGTCTTTAGATATATGATGATATATGTTATAGCAGTGTGCACGCACAACAACACACTTCGATTGTCCAACTTATTGAATACGGTCACCTTTCGGCATTTTGTATCATATATGAGAAATTCGCGCAGCCGCCTAAATGTAAAGTTTTATACAGTAGCCAATAGCCACGGTAAATAGTTTGGTGTAAGCTAAAGTATTTGATATGTGTAGGCCATACGTTCTAGTATCTATAGAGTTAAGCTGACAGTGTACGAATTTTAAAATGTGAAATTGTTTAACAAATACACAAACCATACACAGACACGCCCACACCCACTCCCACACAACGCAACGCAGCACAGCACAGCAAACCGCACAAGCGAACCAGATACGCCATGTAATTTACAACCCAACACCCACGCCTGCAACAGTTGAAAGAATGCACAAAAATTATATTTATTTATCTTCGAACCACGAAATCTGTTCACTTATGCCCAACGATTGACGATTGAAATACGCGCACACAATCCTATGCATTCTAGACCTCACACGTTGTTGGACTTGTCGTAATTGTGGCCCCATCGGAGCACGGCAATATTTTAAAAGCTTTAAATGCAGCTAATTCGAACTATGTTTTTCATTAAAAAGAACAGCAGCAGCAGCACAATGAAACGCCCGAGCATTATACTTACATCCAATGCCTAAGTGTAAAGAATAATTTAATGTAATTACAAAAAGAATAAAATGCAAGGAAACTTGTTAAATGTACTTTGTTAAAAATAGCAAAAGGTTATGTATGATTTTCGAAATTTGCGAATCGAATTTTGAACTTGGTAGCTGAAAATATCATCAGAAATATTTTAATATGCATTTTTATAGCGTTCAGACGGATCGTATGCACTGAATCCTTTGGCACGAGTTCTGCTCCTAATTGGCTAAGTCCGGAATCGAAATTGAGGAAACGAAAACGTAACGCAAATTACTTTAGAAACACACACAAATTGGAATTGGTTCCACTATATATATTTTTATGACGACCTTTTCAATGAAAAGTAAAAAACGCATAAATTTAGAAGCTGTGAAAGCGAGAAATGTATGAATTTGGTTCCTTTCATTTATGGGCGGCGCCTGCTACGAATGAATTATATGATATTTAAAAATAATTAAAATTCTAGATACGCCTAGGACAAACAAAATTGATAAAAAAAAATATGAAAATAACATAATTTAAGGCTTTTAAATGCGAACATTAGCTCGAATTTGTTTTTAGACCGAAAGAAACAGCAGAAGCGAAACAAACCTTGATATACTATGTAGATATCATATGAACATATTTTAAAGTGCATTTTTATAACGCGTATATCTGTACGATCGTATGGGTTTGTTAGAATGTTTTTAGAACGCGACGGGAATTATAGAAACTGGAGCAAAAACTGGTTAAAATGGATACAATACTCGTATGACAACAAGTAATTTAACAAAAATATATAGAGCAATTTAAATGTATATGTAGAAGGAATATTAAAATAAATATTTATATGTGAATATAGTAAATATACATCAGAACCGAACAAAACAGAACAGAACCGAGTGTAAAGCATTTAAGCCATAGCCTCAGCATGTGCCCACGAATATGAATATGAATATGAATATCCAGCAGATCTGCTTAAGAAATTAGTCTCGGATGAATATAAATCAAATTTTCAACATTATTTGTAAAGTTTTTATAATACCTTTTTATATATTTCATACATACACATATAAGACGGAGGAGAACCCTTTTGTAGCCTGCACAAAAGCAAAAACAGATGAGAAAATTGAATTAATTTTATTTTTTAAAGTACATTTTTTATCTAGTACCAAAATGCATTCAATTTGATAAATGTTTAATGTGTAATAATTAATTATACAGATATAGGTATAGGTATAGGATATATAGTTATTTATATATATTATATACATATGTATAATAAATACCGAGCATTATGTGCTGTTTGCCTAGCCCACGCACAGAGAAGGAACCCACGATAGTTGAAATGCTACTTATAAGATATGAAATGTATGTATTACAAGTACCTACCAGAACTAACATAGTATCATAGTCCCATAGTATATACTATACACCGATATAAATATATATATATACGAGTATATCTGTACATATATGTATATGATATGTAGAATATGTGAAATCGAAATCGAACATTGATTGATAATCTATCCACCCTAGCCCTCGCGCAAAGCGATTCGAATGGAACACGAAATCCAAGACAACCTACCTACTACTCGTACTCGTATGACTAATCGAACCCAAAAACACGAAAACCTAAAACCTAAAACGGATAACGGAAAGATTGAATGTTGTTTATTTAAATGTTATAGAGTACCGAACCGATAAAGGAAGGCATAATTATTGGAAGAGTGGAAGGGGCACGTTGGAGTTGTGTGTGTGTGCGTGTGTGTGGATGAACGAAAGAGTGTGTGTGTGTGTGTGTGTCTGTGAAAGACAATGTCCGAAAAGCTTTAAACAAATATATACAAAAATATATAGAGAGAGCATTACAAAAATATACCATTTATTTGAGTTTGTTATATCGATATTGAATCACATTCCCCATTCCCCCTGCTATGTCTCTCAATATCATCCAACGTGTCCATCAAATAATTAATGTTCTATCTACTCGACGCAAAAAAAAACAAAACGAAAACTACATAAAACAATCTATCAAATACTGAACTAAAAGGGCAAAGAAAAACAGCAGATTTTTAAATGTAAACGAATTTTTTTTTGTCATTTGATTTAAGCTGTCATTATTGTTGCACCATTTAGAGAATAATTAATTAATGAATTATGATATATTTTTGATGTCCAGCGATGATTGAACAGCAAAAAATGGGAAATATATTCGCTTTGTGTTTGCCTGAACAGTTTAATAATGTAAACTCCTGAATAATTATGCAATAAAACGATAGAAATTCTATGGAACTCAGTGGAATAATACGAGTATGAATGTACCATATGAATAATCAAAATCAGAGGGTAATTAAAGTACACAAGTAGAAACTGTTGTCATACGTTTGTCGAAGGTTCCTTTATACCGCAACAATTAGCGAGAATTGTATTACATTAAAGGGGTATTGTATACGTCCTGAGTGTTCCCTGGGATCCCATTTATAATCCGTGCACATTAAGCTGCTGAAACACAGTGCTGACCCACAATCAGGAGCTGAATGGAGAACGAGCGGGTGTTAGCCTGCTTGTGGGATCATCAGAACTTCTTGGGATTATAATTTATACATTTTGCACAAACTGAATAATTGATAATGGCACAATGGACTTGGCAGCGCCGCTGCGGTTTAGAGGCTGCGCTGTGGAACGGATGTACAGACAGATGTCGGGCGCTGGCGCTGGCGCTGGCTGATGGCCAACGAACCCGAGCAACGAGCGGAAAACCGCAATGTGAAAAAGCCATTTGCTGTTTGGCCTTCCCCCTCCTAAATTTCCACTCACCCAACATTACTAGCGCACTTAAAACAGACGAGGAGCAGCAGTCAGCAGAGAAGTCAGGTCATAGAGCAGAATGTTGTAACATTTCGGGGGACGGCCATTCAGTGCGGTTGTGTCTTGGGTATGTGTCAGTCAACCTGTGACGACCACCGAATCTGTCGCTGGGAGTCGAGCAGCAATTCTTCATTTCCGGTGCAGCTTAAGAGCCATGATTCCTTCCCGACTCCTTCCTTCCTGGTTCCCCTCTGTGTGAGGAAAGCCTTTCTTTTTGTGCGCTGTGGAAAAAGCGAGCAACGGCAACGGCAACGGCAATGGCAGCGGAAGTTGCTTGCCTGACCCAGACCCAGACACAGACCCACACCACTCAAGCCAAAACTCGTTCCGGGGTCGCCTTCAGTCTTCTACGTGTTCCTTACCTTGTCCTGCCTTGCCCTCCACTCGCGCTTTGTACTGTATGGTTTTCATTTCCGGTTTCCGCTGCTGTTCGAGTTACTTAAGCGGATTACAAGAGCAACAGCGAATGACGAAGTCAGTTGGAGCAGGGGCTTGCTGCAAATGATGAAGTAGACGACAGGACCGATTCCAGTCCTGTTCCTGTTTTGATTTACCAAATATGTTGAATATTAATTGAGATTTATGGCCACTGCACCTCCACTGGCCCTTCCTAACCCACCCACCCATGCATTGTTAGGCAAACCCATTATCGTAATTATGCCAAAATGACGGATATAGAATACCAGTTGTACATGGACCTTGCCTATGGCGAACTCTACTTCATTAAAAGCTGAAACACAGTCGGATTGCTGCTTTGCTATTACTTATATTTGAATGATTGAAACAGGGAGAGGCATCTAGCACTAGGCCTGGCAGTGGGCATTCTCCCAGAGCTGGGCTTGCGACTGGTAGTAGTTCACCAATTCCTCCATACTGACGTTGGCGAGCATCTCATTGATTTTCGGGACGAGCAGGTTCTGGTACAAGGAGTCGGTGATCTTTGGCTGGATCTCCTCTAGACCAAGAGAAATGAGAGTCTTGCTCCAGCGGTTCCAGAAGTTGTTGGTGGAGATGTTCCACAGAGTGTTCCAGTTGTCCAGCTGAATGTCGGCCAAGTAGATGGCCAGTTTGAAGTCGACGATGCGCAGACCCGAGGAATTGGTCAGGCTGTTGGCAAAAGAGTAGCTTCCCACAAAGCGCAGATCCACAAAGGCCTCATTGATCAGATCGCGCTGACGGATGGGCAGAGGGACTCCGGCAATGTTGATGAAACCCTCGATCTCGGAAGAGCCCAGAATCTGGATCTTGGGGAAGATAACGTCGTAAGCTGCCACGCCGGTGGTGCCATAATCGCTGGCGCTCAGTATCTGGAAGTTGTTGAGGCCCTCGATCCGGATGTTGCTCACATTGCCCTTCAGATTGTAGTCGTCGCTGGAGCAGTCGAAGGCGTAGAAGGGATTGACAATGGGAGCAAGCACGGGAATGTCGGGGGCGTAGCCGCAGGGCATGATACTCTTGAAGGCCTGTATGTACCGGGTCATGGCCGAGCTGAAGTTAGCACTGGCAGCCTGTTGGGGGACTGGTGTAGCGCTGACCAGGGCGATGCCCAGGAGGGCCACAAGGAAGAGTTGGGAAGCCATTTCGATTGCTGACGCGGTTGGTGAATGAACTGTGAATGGTTTACGATGGCACCGTGTGTCTTTTATAGTTGGGATTCTTATCTATTCAGTCGATGTTAAATGGAAACTTTCAAGTCTTATGATGGATTGAATATCGATCGAATCGCTTATTGGGTGCCCATATCGCCACTAAGGCGCATTACATATCTTCAGCTCCCACATGACTCATTGGCTCGTGCGCCTGTCGAGGGGTTTCACACACGATTTCAAACGATCCATCGAATACTTAGTGTCTGCAAATACCGAGAGCCGTGTTCATTTGGTTTCGATATCGGAATGAGTTCCCGGAA